AGCACTACCCAGTGCTGGAAGGTAAGCATTTGACGTCGCATCCTTCTCACTCTGTCCTTATAGAAGGGTTCCCCCGCCTCACTCCTGCTACATTCTTGTCCTCACCAGTCCATAGTGCTAGGTGGACCCTTCTCCAGCACCCCCTACGTCCACCACCTCCACCCGATCCTAATTCTCTTTTACTGTTCCATCTCCCTCATTCCAAACTGCTGGCTGTGTACCTTTGCTTATCACTCCTATCTCATCCTACCTGGACACTCTGGTCCTAGATTTTGGTGTGCCCATGGCATTCTGGCTAAGCGAACCCCTCAGCTTCATCTCCCACCACTGCAGATGTGGACTCTGGGGCCTAATTCCTAGGGCTGTGCATTTTCCTTCCCCTACCACAACTCACGGCCTTGCTGCCCCTCTCCCTACCCACCTCTCATGCCCAGGACCCTACTGCCAGACTAGGGAGAGGATGGCCACTTACATCACAACCCTCAGTCCCACCGCCCTCTCAGTTAAGCTGCTGCACTACCTATTCCCTCACTGTCAGAACTACCAAGACAGCCCCTCCCAAAGAGCTACTACTGCAACGTGGAAACGTACTTAATTGTGGAAACTCTGACCCTGGGAAATGTTGCTGAAAAGTTTTACTCAACTTAGCTGGTAGAAAAAAATGTCTAGAAATTAAAATGTCAGTTCAGAGAGGGGAAATTTGGGCGATGCCTGAAGTGTGGGGTTCTCAGTGCATCTTGCATTTTTCCCCACCCTCACTCACCTCCCCCATGGTGAGAAGACCTCTCTACTCCCTTGGTCTGCTTTGTAAGTCCCAACTCACCCACTCATGACCCAGCTGTAGGTCCTTGGGTCCATCTTGCTGGATAGGAACAAAGCATGGCCCCACAAATGGTTCTTCATGGCCCACTCCAAGGCTTCCTGGAAACAAAAACATACCCTGAACAGTGCTGTACCCTCCTTCCTCTCGCGACAAGTTTCTATGCAGAGGCACTGCTGCAGCCTGAGCAGCCGCGGGGCTTCTGGGAAGACGCAGAGCCTCGCCCACACAGGCTATCCAAAAAGTTCACAGAAATGTGTACTATGAGAAAATTATGCATGAATTTCATTTTTTTTCTTGCATCAAAATAAACTTGTCCTCGAATTGCATTTTTCCACAAACTTTTCTTAGGACATGTGAACTCACCAGAGAGAGAGAGAGAGAGACAATGAGAGGGAAATGAGAAACCACACCCCAGGAGGGATGGCCACACTGCAACCCCTTCTCCTCCACTCTCCTTCTGGGATCTTGGGCATGCATGCACACATGCCCAGTGTGATTTTCAAGCCATGAGGCATGGGACTCGAACTGCAATCAACCATGTGGGAGTCCAGTAAAGTAACCACTATGCCACCTGCTGTCCCCACCACATACTTTTTGAAGTTCCCTTATGTGAACAGAAGAACTAGCAGGGGAGCAAGCTTTAACTGACACAGAATCTGTCTCTAGGTTGTCCCTTTCTCCAGCCTTTATCAACATCCATTTTATCAAAATCCATTATGCTATTTCACCAGCTGCCCTCACACAGACTGCCGGTGAGCCTCGCCCACCTTAGCAAAAGTTACAAAGTCCTCATGTAAACTAAAACAAGAGATAGACTCACTGGCACCAGCAGCTGGCATAATAGCTATGTCACTGGACTCTCATGTAGTCGACCGTGGTTCAAGTACCAGACCCAGCCAGGCGTATGTGCGTGCCCAAGATCCCGAGAGGAGAATGGAGGAGAAGAGATTGCAGTGTGGCCATCTTCCTGGGGGGTGAATTCTTGCTTTCTGTCTCTCTGTCTTTCTGGCAAGTGCACATGCCCTATAGCAAAAACCTCTCAAAAAAAAAAAAAAAAAGAAGAGAGAGAGAGAGAGAGATGGCCCTCATCCCAAGGATAGAGTCTTAAGTATTTATAGAAAATAGCAAAAGATTAAATATTTAAATGTACAAAGTAAAGTCATAAAAATAGTCTGACTTCACTTTTATAAATTAATTTTGAAGTAGGAAAACCTTTCTAAATATGATCCCCAAAAGTTGTGATTTGGGAAAAAGTCTTAAAAGCATAAAGTGCTTCAACAAGCCAATAAATGAGGACCAAAGACCCATTAGAAAAATGTGGAAAATTCATGACAAAAAAATAAAGTTCACAGATTAAAAAATATTAGACTTCCTAACAGGAGAACTTAAATAACTACATTAAATTATAATTTTTTTTCACTTCTCATATTGGCACCTAGTTAGAAGCCTGAAGCATCTTTGGTGGGTGAGAGTGGTGAGCAGGTGAGGAAACAGGCACTCTCCTCTCTCACTGGGAGGGTGAACTCCTACAGACTCTGAAAAGGCAATTTGTCGATAGCTATCAAAATGACAGGGGCCAGATGGTGGCGCAGCAGTAAAGCACAATGCTCTGCAAGAGCCAGCCACATGAGAAGGTTACCAGTTCATATCCAGAGACCTCCCTGAGTATACTGGCACAAGCATGCCCGTGGTCCAGGTCGGCTGAACTGGGGATGGATTCCCAGCATGGAGGCCTTGCTGGGGGTACTGTGTCTGTGTCTCTCACTCCTGGAATAAATAAGCTTTTTAAAAATTATTTTTAAAATCTTATAAACCATAAACCTTTTGCTGAACACTTGTATTTCTAGAAATTTATCTTACATGCATCCTCTCACTCCAGGCAAAGTGACAGTGGTTACTCACTGTCATAAGCAAGGCTTATGTAGCAGAAGATTGGAAACCATCTTTTCTTCAGGTTGTTGCCATAGGGCACGTGCACTCTCCAAAGAGAGAGAGAGAGAGGGAGAGAAACCATCCCCCAGGCAGATGGCCACACTGCAATCCGTTTTCTAGTCTCCTCTTGGGACCCTGGGCATATGCACACATGCACCCAGTGTGATTTCCAAACCACTGGGTCCAAACTGAACAGCAGTCAATCCTGTGGGAGTCCAGCACCTCAACCACCACACCACATACTGGCCCCCTACTCTTAACGTCCCCTCAGTGATTTAGTTTATTACAGTTGACTCGTTGCAATCTATGCCACCATAGGAAATAACGAGGAGGGTACTTACACAGGATATACAGAAGGGTCTGGTAAAATCTGGTTAGAAGGCACCCAGAGCACAGCTTATTTTAACGGAGTCCACAAGCTAAGAACAGTTTTTACCTTTTTAAATGACTGGGAAAATCAAAAGAAAACTAATACTTTATTAAACATGAAAACACACATAATTCAATTTTCTGCATCATAAAGTTTTGTGACACAGAACACACAGGCATGTATGTATTGTCTGTGGCCGGCACATCACAGGGCAGAGCTGAATAGCTGCAACAAGACCTGATAGCCAGCAAAGCCTGAAATATGTACTGCCTGTCCCTTTACAGAAAATGGTTGCCAATCATATTACAGAGTATTTTCTAAGATATTTTGTTAAACAAACAGACAAAAGGTATATAGTATGCTACAAGGGGAAAAAAGATGAGAACAAGATGACTTAGTGCATAAACTCTAGATATTTCAGAGGAGAAACTGGGTGACAAGGTAATAGAGGCATTATTTTCCCCACTTATCCCTTTTGTCTTTTGATTTGTGAATCAAACTAATTCAAATTGGCTTTAGTTACATGTTAAATGTACTTTGTGACTTGTGTGAGGTGTGAGCCCCACTTCGAAATTAAGCAAGACATCACGCTTCATCTGCTCAGTGAAGTATTCAGTATCAATAGGCACACCATAGATGGAGCAGCAGGCCTAGCATCTGTAAAGAAACTTCCAGAAACTAAGCTGGTGTATGTGATGAACCCTTAGAGCAGCAGTTAGCTGTACAGAGAAAGGTGACTCTTACAGAGCCAACCAGGGTTCAAGTCCCAGTCCAGAAGCTTGAAAAACATGCTGGGTGCACACACATACAACCAGGATGCTGATGGGATGGAGAATAGATGGGGAAAAAATGCAGTATGATCAGGGCTTTTTAGGGGTGCTTTCTGCCTCACTCATCCTCATTCTTTTCTCTTTCTCTCATGTATACATATGTTCTATGCCATTAAAAAAAAAAAGAACCATCTTTTAAACATGCACACCCTTTAACCCAGTAATTTCTCTTCTAGAAATGTATCCTAAAGAAGTAATGAAAAGATCAGCCAAACATTCATATAACAAGATGTTCAAATGGCATGATTTATAATGGTTGGCTATATATGGATAGGCTGTCTGTATACCTGGGCTATACATATACTGCTGAACAATAGTGGGTTAGTTAAATAAAATGTGATGTGTTCATATGATGAATAGTATGCCACCATTTTCTAAGTTTATTTCTTTCTCTCATGAGTGACAGTGCAAGAAAGAAAGAGAAAACACCCCGACAGGCGATCAACCCCCAGTCATCAGCCAGCCTGTATCATGCACGAGCACATGCCCAGTGTACTCAAGGGGATCTCCAGACGTGAACTGGAACCCTTCCCACCTCGGCCTGCCTTGCAGAGCTTCTCGTTCTACAACTGCGCTATCTGGCCCCACCGCCATTTTCTAAATTGTGCTGTTGGGACATATTTAACGTCATGGGACACCTCACCATATAATCTTAAGTTTAAAAAGAGAAATAGGCCAGCCATGGTAGTGCATGGTATCACAACGCTCTGTGGTGCTGAGGCCATGTGGGAAGGTACCCAGTTCACATCCCCAGACGTCCCTGTACAGAGCAGACTTGTCTGTGCCCATGATCTAGGACAGCTGAGACTGGGGGTGGATCACAGCATGAAGACTCCAGTGAGAAGACTCATCTCTCTCTCTCTCTTTCTTTCTCTCTCTCTCTCTCCCTCTCACACAGAAGAAATAATCCTTTTTAAAAAGGGAGGGAAATAAATAACTGTGTATATAATTTAAGTATATTTTTAATATATGTACTGGAGGGGGCCAGCAGGTGGTATGGTGGTTAGGGACGCTGGACTCTCACATGGCTGACCACGGTTTGAGTCTCTTCTTCTTCTTCTTCTTCTTCTTCTTCTTCTTCTTCTTCTTCTTCTTCTTCTTCTTCTTCTTCTTCTTCTTCTTCTTCTTCTTCTTCTTCTTCTTCTTCTTCTTCTTCTTCTTCTTCTTCTTCTTCTTCTTCTTCTTCTTCTTCTTCTTCTTCTTCTTCTTCTTCTCTGTACCTTTCTGAACTTCTCAGTGCTTTAAAATAAGTGAATGAAGACTATTGCCACAACTGGAGGAGGGGTAGGGGGTTGTGGTTGCTCTTCAAAAGCAAGCATGAGGAAAGACCACTTGCCTTCTTCCTCCCGTAGTAGAGCAGTCTAGTGAATTTCTCCACGATCTGCTCAGGCGACTCCACGCTGGGCGGGATCTCCCCAGTGAGCAGGTTTGGGGTGCCCGAGCTCAGCACCGGCCAGTCCTCATCAGTCAGGTGGATGAGGTTGGCCACTGGAGGCTGCCTCTTGTACTTGTCCAGCTTCTTGCAGTCTTGCATCAGCAGCTCCGCGATGTCAGACCCCACCATGGACTGCAAGGCAGAAAGGATCATGTTGGGAGAGCCCTATCAGTCCTTGCACTGGCGGCCTGAGCTGAGAAGGAAGGTGCCAGGGCAGCTGCCTTCTCCACCGGAGGCCAATTACACAAACACAAAACCATCTTTTCTGGGCTGGCTGGAGTGCAAACTTCAACTTCACTATCTTGATTATTTTCTGCTGCCAGAAGCCACAAAGTTTACAAGAAACCTTCCCAGTTTCACAGGTGTATCATCTGGTGTGTACAGTAACCCAGGAACCATACAATAGTCCCAAACCAGAGAAGAGCTCCAGAGATAGGTTCCCGTTGGCAAACTGGCTTTGACATTGAACAGTTCTTCCCCAGGGCAAATACCTTTTTAATCACTCTCCACAATCATGCCTTAAGGTGAACGGTTTCGATCCCATGAAGATTTTCGTTGCAGTCCAGCCTGTATCTGTGCACCCAGCAGAGCACTCATGCTTACCCCATTCTGGCGACAAAGGAGAACCAGCAGTTGCCACAGTAGAGCTGAGTCCACGCTGCCGGGTGTCTCCGATCTACGGCTCTGAGTTGCCTTCTGCTGGCAGAATGTCATAATGTCCACTTTGTGCACATCTTCCCTATGGAGAGGTTTCAGAGTGTGAGAGTGAGCAGGCAGGCTCTTTCATGAAAAACCTCCAGGAGTGAGGGTGCTGGCTGAGCTGGGATTCAGAGAGAAGCCTGACTTCCCAGGGCTGGTAGTACGTCATAGCTACAGGGTGGTTATTTCCTTGTAGAATAGGAAGAGACGTCCGAGATCCTCTCATATACCCCCTCCATTTGGCTAAAGAATTATTTTATTTAACTTTATGTATTTATTTTAATTTGACCAGAGAAGGACAGAATGAGAAAGAAAGTAAAAGAGAGAGAGAAAGTGAGAAAGCAAGCCACTAGGTCAAGGACTCAAACGGTGGCCAGCCATGTGGGAGTCCGGCACTCTTAAACACCACACCACCTGCCACCCCCCCGCCCCACTTTACAGATGAGGAAGCTGAAGCCGAGGCCTGAAGTAACGGTAGAAGATAACAGGTAAGATCACAGACTTTGGAGTTAGACAGACTTGGGTCTAGATTTGGCCAGCCACTTCCCAATTTTGACAAGTTTCTTATCATCTCTGAGTCTAGCTTTTCCCCCCTAAAATCGGAATAATAAAAGAATCTGCCTCCATATATAAAAGGAATTAGCAAATGCTATGGCATATAGTAAGATCTCAACAAAAGGGTATCGTTTTTGCTCAAGATCATCTCATAAACTCAAAGCCAAGTTGAACCAGTACCCTAGAGTCTGAACACACAGCTCGCCCCATATCTGCATGCCTGTCTAAATAGAGACAGCACTCGCTTATACGTAAAGAAGCTGTCCGATAATATAGGAAGATTTTCTTGGAGGGGAAGCCTCAGAATAAGAATACATTTGTATAGTAATGATACTATTTTAAGGACTTCCAAGTGCATAATTTCACTTGTGTCTCACAGCCATGCTTGGAAAAGGCAGAAATATTACATAATTCTCAGGGGGGAAAACTAAGTTCATAGTAGCCTAAGTGACCTGTCTCATAGTATCACATAGTCATGAGATGCCTGGGCCTGGGACACAGGTCCTCTGTCACCCACCAAGGTCTCCTTCACAAAATCATCCTGAATAGCTGATCAGACATATGACTAGGAATTTAAAAACAGTTCCAGTTCACTCCTGCAGAGGGCAGACTTATACCCTGCCCAGTAACTCCGACACTACTGATGTTACATCTGCAGAAAAAAAGTCAGCGTTCACAGAATTTTGTCCATGATGATCCATTTGTCTTTGACTTCCCAGGTCTTGCTCTACTTTGCTACAAGTATTTAGCAAGCACATAGAGCACGAGAACTCGCTACCAAGTAACGTTTGCAAAGTGGAACGGACTTTAGATTTCTAAACGGCTATGTTTTCTTGTTGTCCAGCTATCAAATGGCTTGGCAAAATGGCTCAGGCCACTTTGGGTTCTATGTTGTAGCACGGAGAACTCTACTTTAACAGGAATACACATTTTCTGCCATGGAAATAAAATCCCCCAAATGCTGATGTGGCAGGATTTTTCTAAGGTTTCAAAAGCCCTAACTCAGTACTGCACTTAGTCATTTACCTGGTCAGCGGTCCCGAGAAACTTCTCATCTCCTCTTGTTCCTTGGAATCATTAAGAATAACCTGAAACAAAAAGATGTGGTCTTCACAATTATGACCCTGTCAGTCAAGTCAGTAGCCATGGTGCTTGCAGAGAAAGCAGAGGGCAAAAGTAGACTCTCTCTCTCTTTTTTTTTGTTTTTTTTTTTTTTTGGAGAGGTATTGCTATAGGGCGCGTGCACTCGCCAGACAGAGAGAGACAGAGAGATAGAAAGCGAGAAATCACCCCCCAGGGGGATGGCCACACTGCAATCCCTTCTCCTCCATTCTCCTCTCGGGATCTCGGGCATGCACGCACACGCGCCTGGTGTGAGTTTTAAGCCACCGGGTCCAGGACACAAACCGTGGTTGACTACATGGGAGTCCAACGACATAGCCATTATGCTAACTGCTGGTCCTAAAAGTGGACTCTCTTGATGTGGGAAATGCGCTCCTGCATCTCAGGGAAAACCCCCTTAGCTTTATTTCTGCCAGAGAAGAGCCCTACCCATTCCTGTATCTCCCAATCCAAGCAGCGTATGGCTCAGTTTCCCCCAAGAGCATCCCATTCCTGGAGATGCCTGGGCTCAGGCATAGGGGAGTGGGGGAACTGTGTTCAGAGTGGCTAGAGAGCTGTGTGCTGCCATTCCCAGGACACACACTCGCTTTACCTCCATGCTGTGCAGCTCAACAAGGGCCGTTTGCCCATCAGTGGGAGAGCTGGGACCCGCACACACCAGCTGGCCTCCAGGCCCAAAACTCACAGGCACGTGAGGGATGTAGAACTTCTTGGGTTCCTTGGGACCAGCTGCCGAGACATCCTCTGCCCAACAGACACAGACAGACATTGTCAGCCTCCCTTCCCCTGCTTTTCTTTAGCTCAGAGATACACCACAGACCTATTTCTGTCCAAATGCCACCTGGGCCTGAGAAAAGATTTTGGGTGGGCTACATAATTAGAAGAACCCCTTGCTCCATGTCAGATTTAATCCTCTGAGAATGTGTCTGAAGGATTTGACAGTTCAGGCAAATGACAGTGCGCCCAGTCCAGACACTCAGAAATGGCGAGACGCCAAGGGGTCCCCAGCTCTCCTAGCGGCTCTGCTGACACCAAGTCTCCTACATGCAGACGACGCTGGTGCTTTGTGTGCAGCTTTTGCTTCACCTAATTCTCTCTGGTCTTCACTTTCCTCACCTGTTTCTTAAAAGCACGATTGAGTGATGCCTCCCCCAGCCTGCTGATGGCCAGGCCAGTGTTCCCTTCCAAGAACTAGCTATGACGTAACCTCCATTACAAGGGAAAAGGCAGGAATGGAAGCGGTGCCAAAGTTGGCCTCTCCACAAGGAGACCTATAGAAGCAAATGAGGTGTACAATGATCCATTCCAGGAAACGCAGAACAGGGAGACTTTCCAAGACTCTTGCCACACAGCCTCACCTCGTCCAGTGCAACTAACTCCCATGGTCGCTGTAGTACCCACCAGCCTGTCCTGGACTCCACACCACTGAGACCGTCGGGTCATACAGCTCCGGGGTGTCCGCCATGTACTGGCTGAGCTCATAGCTGCTGGAGCTGAGGCCAGACTCGTGCTGCTGGAGGAGGTTGGACTCGCTGCTCAGTGACGGCTGAAAGTTAGGAACAATGAAAGTACGTGGGAGGGAGTTCCAGAGAGCCGGTCCTCTTGAGCGTTCCTTCAAAGAGGCAAAATCTAAATGTCCCAGGAACTACAGTGAGCATGGCTGTGTTGAAAGAAGGGATCGTTCTGCTGCCAGGTATTTGCTAAAGGATACACTGTGGCTCAGTGACCAGCATGCACGTCCCGGGGCCAGGGGGCCTTGAGTTCAAATCTCACCTTTGTCCAACTTGTAGTTGCTGTGACCTTGGACAAGGGACTGAGACTCTCTGAGCTCAATACCCTTGTCTAGAATTACACATATTTGCCCTATACGCTTCAAGAACTCACTCATGAATTTATTCACCAACTACTACATGAGCACTTACGATACTCTAGGTGCTATGCTTTCCACAGGGACATGGGTATACACAAAATGCATAAAATTCACATTCTGGAAGCAGTAAACAGTGGGTCTGAAGTTCCTTGTGCAGCCTCAGGGGCTGTACCCACGTGAGACTGCAGTTGTTGTTCCTATTAGACATAATCACGTCGGCCCTGCCGATTAAATACTAAACACATAGAAGAAATGACCCTCAGAAAACAGGCCCATCTAGTCAGGGAGACAATATTAATACACTGCCAAAAAGTAAAATTCTGTCTCTGCAGTATCTTCGTAGATTTTCCATAAAAATAAAATGATTCTAAAATAAAAAGGTTATTTTTAAAACACTGAGTTCCACTCTGTGGCCCAGCTGGTATACACAGTAAATTTTAGAGAAGATGGAAGAGTCAGGAAAGGTTTCCAGGCCTGCTTTTCAAACCTGAATTAAATGATTCTAACAACATCCCACTTCCTAGGTACACCTCATGGCTGGTCCCGGGGGAGGGGGCCTTGACACCTGGTGGCAATCTCTCCTCGTTTCCCAGCAGCTCACAGTGACGAGTATGACATTTCCTGATTCTGCCAATTTGACACAAATGCAGAAGGGCTAGATCAGGGCCTCAAACCCTAAGACGGAAGGCAGGGAAAGGAGGTGACGAGAGTGCAGCCTCTGCTGAGGGACAGGAGCAGGCCCCACAGACCGCTGGTCCCCCAGACCCCCCTCGCCTGTCCCTCCCTGCCACTGCTGATGGTGCTGCCCACGATGCCCGGCCACAGCCTCCAGCACCTGTGTCACTTCAGGTTACCTTATTCTTCTGGGCCCCCGTCCGAAGACTCTCAGAAAACAGCTCCCCGGGCCTCTCCTGTCCAGAGGTGGAAGCAGGACTGTCTTTATCAGGGATCCAAGTGAGTGGTCTGCAGCGAAATGACAGGGGTGGTGAGGGGGTCCCCCCCCCCCACCCCCCCCCCCTCCCCCCCCCTGCCACTGCTGATGGTGCTGCCCACGATGCCCGGCCACAGCCTCCAGCACCTGTGTCACTTCAGGTTACCTTATTCTTCTGGGCCCCCGTCCGAAGACTCTCAGAAAACAGCTCCCCGGGCCTCTCCTGTCCAGAGGTGGAAGCAGGACTGTCTTTATCAGGGATCCAAGTGAGTGGTCTGCAGCGAAATGACAGGGGTGGTGAGGGGGTCCCCGGCAAGCTGGTGAGACTGTGCTGCTCTCTGCTGGGGCTGTCCTGATTCGACGCCTGAGGTGGGGGTCCAGGTGGCCTAGGCACCACAGGGAAAGGCCTTTTCCTCCCATTCACCACCTTAGTCTATTCATCCAGAAAACCAGGAGTTCTTGGGTTCCATAGTGCACTGACTGGAAGTGGCCTTGGGCCCTGCAGAGAAGGGCTGGTCTCTGCAACCAGGCATCCTGGAATGACTCAGTCTGAGCACCAGTCCGGGCTGGTGAGTTCCCAGGCTCAGGGCACTGAACAAATGCTAGGGCCAAAGTCTCTTCCCTGACCTGCCTTTGCCCAGAGGGATGCCCCATTCTCAGTGCCCAGCTGTGGGCTAAGGAGGAACAGGCCAGCCCAGGCAGAACCCAATCATAGGAACTTTTGAAAAGGATCAAGGCCCTTGGTTAAGACAGACAAGTAACCTCACCAGACTCAGACTAGCCCAGGTTTGGAGACAGCCTCAAGAGAGGAGAATTTCTCCATCTAGGGTCCCTGTCAGCAGCTGGCCTACCCATACATCCCTGTGCTGGGACGAAAGCAGATGGGCTTCCAGAGGTGAGGAGAACCACATGCTGTGAGGTTCGCCGACACAGCATGACAGCACACATCCGACCCGGCCTCCTTGCACTTACTGAAACTGGGTCTCACTCTTGGTTCCAAATGGACTGCTCTGGCTTTCACGACAAGGTTCACTGAGGTACTTTTTACCTCGATGATCTTCATGCCAGATATAAGGACTCCCTTGCCTGGGCACTGTATCCTCAGAGAAAACGAAATAAAGACAGATCACTTCCTGCTTCTGTGAGTTCGTTCAGGAAGACATTAGTATCTGGGAAGCGGGGTTACCGCAGGATGGTGAGTACAAAACATATTTCCAGGCCAGCCCAAGGCGTGGTGGCTAAAGCAACCAGATCCTACATGATCGTGTAGTTCAAGACCCAGACCCGACAGCTTGGGTGTGTGTGCATATGTGCCCAAAATCCTGAGAGGAGAATGGAGAAGGGATTGCAGTGTGGCTGTCCCAGCCCCCGGGGAGATGATTTCTCACTTTCCCTCTCTCTGTCTCCATCTCTCTATCTCTCTCTCTGGTGATCACACATGCCCTGTGGCAAAAACTAAAAGAAAAAAAATGCCTAATTGAATTGAACAATATTGAGTGTCCATAAAACACTTCAGTCCTCTCTGAAGCAATTAGCATGGCTCTATTCTTTTGTACAACGGTGAGGATCAGGTGTGTGTGTGTGTGTGTGTGTGTGTGTGTGTGTTTGACATTGAAACATATTCTGTTTGCTGGTAGGTCAGAGGCTGCCATTACCACACACCCTCTACCTACCATATACAAAATCCTGCTGGTACGTATCTGCACCCTCAGGATGAAGTGTGGTCAGACCTGTGCTGTAGCCCTTAAAACTGGCTTCACTGTCCCTTGGTCAGAGACTATGCTCTTGGCTCTCAGAAGGGGTAGAAGAAAACTGTGGATGAAGTGCAAACTCCCCTTGGTACAAGTACCATGGTAGTTTCAGTACCATCAACTACACACACAAAGGAAAATGACTCCTTTTTATCTCTGCTCCTCGAGTCATCTAGGAGTAGTGTCTCTGCTGTGTCTCACTGGCCAAGATAGGATGCCAAAGGTGAGGCTCTGAGCATGGCGCATTAGTCTCTGCCCTGCCTATCAGACCAGCTGCACCAGTCCCAAACCCCAAAGGCTTCTTGGAGATGATTGCATACCTCTTTCTTCCTGCAGCCACTGTGGGTGTCCACGGTAGTAATAACTTCCATAAGCATATTCTTCCCTTAGAGATGGAGAGCGATAGCTCTGATATGGATCCTCATAGCCTGGCCTAAAATATCATAAAGAAGGCCAGTCACACGCAGATGAGTGTGGTGAAGGGACAAACAAATGGGGGACTTGACAAACTAAACAACTGCACAGGGCAGAACTGCAACCCCACTCTAAAATCTGCTTGAACACCCCAGTTGGGCTGGTCCCATAGCCTACTGGTTAAGGAAACCAGATGCCGCATACCCAATGACAGTTCAGGTCCCAGCCCCTGTGGCTTGGGAAACATGTCAAGAGCATGTACATGTGTGTTTAACATCCTAGCAAGATGGAGAAGTAGAGGAGAAGGGACTGCAGCATGGCCATGCACCACTGGCATGTTTTCTCCCTGTCCCTTTCTCTGTCTTTCTCTGGTGAGCACACAAACCTTCTAGCAATGAAAGAAAGAAAAAGAAAGAGAGTGAGAGAGAGAAAGGAGGGAGGGAAGGAGGAAAAAGAAAGCCACAGTGAATTCTAGATCCCATAAACAGAAAATCTAGAATCAGAGCAGGAGGAGGGGCTTTGATACATAACAAGGCTGGAATTGTAATTATTATTTACAATTCTTTAAAAAAAAAAAAAAAAAAAAAAACACCTCTTCTTTTTCATTGCCAGAAGGCCTGTGCACTCGTGCACGGGTGCAAGAGAGAGACACGTCGGACTGCCTGGAGTCTGATTACTTTCGTTGCCTTTGTCCTTAACATACCCTCCTATGAGGTTTCAATAACCCAGTAAGATTGGAGAAAGGAACGTCCAACACCCCATGAACTATTAAGTCCAGAGCTATCAATTAGAGCTCAAGGAGGCAGGCATTCCAAATTCTCCAACCTGGGATCACCTCACTGTGACTTTGTCTTGACCTTGGAGACTATAAGTTCATCTCTGCTTTCTCTGAGGTTGAGTTTTTCCTATTCACTCAATGTAGATTTCTCTTTTCGTCTATCATACTCCAGTATGTTCTAAGCACTGGGCCTGCTCCAGGTGTTGGTGGCATCTGCCATGCTAACCCCAGGTCACAGTGGTCCAGTGATGACGTGAAACTTTTCTTTTTTCTTTTTTTTTTTCTTTGCTTTCCTTTCCTTCCTTTCATTTTTTTCTTTCATAATTTTGCTAGATGGGACATAAGATGGCCAGAGAGAGACAGAGAGAGAGAGAGAGAGAGAAAGTAAGAAAGCCTCCCCTGCCCCTCCCAAGGGTCAGTCACGTCACAATCCCTTCCCCTCCGTTTCTCCTTTCCAGATTTTGGGAATGCATACACTCATGCCAGGCATGTTTTTCAAGCTGCTCAAACCATCTAGTTGGCCATAACCACCAGGCTCCTTAAACACCACACCATGGGCTGGTCCATGCGGAACTTCTTATAGGGACCCCCCGCCCCAGGGAAAATTTGCATAGTAAAAACATACTGCCTTTTACAATTTCAGAACAAGAGGGTCCCATCTGCTCCCTCGAATTTCATTATTTTCCCTATCCTCTGCCCCACCCCCTAATACTCAATTGCATTGTAATGGATTTTTTTTTTTTTGAGAGAGAGATTTTTGCTATAGGATGTGGGTGTTTGCCAGAGAGGCAGAGGGAGAGAAAGTGAGAAATCACCCTCCAAAGAGGATGGCCACGCCACAATCCTTTCTCCTCCATTCTCCTCTCAGAATTTTGGGCACATATGTACAAGTACCCAGTGTGAATTTTAAGCTACTGGGCCCAGGACTTGAACTGTGGTCAACTACATGGGAGTTCAGCAATATAACTATTACACCATCTGCTGTTCCCTGTGATAGCTTCTTTAAGAAGTTCCAGGAGGGGATAATAGGAGGAAATTATTATCTTCAATCACTAAAAGTCCATTTAGGAGAGGACAGATTTTAGCTAAGTCAATGTAGTAACATGGAGAAGAAAAATATGAGAAACGAAAGGAAAAGGAAGAAGGAAATGAACCACCTGTTCCTGAGTGTTTCGGAGAGCTGAGTTCATTCCAAATCCTGAAAGCATACCTGGAATACAAGTGACCGGGATAACCACCTTGGTAATAGTCAGCGCCAGGCACTGGCTGATGCCACTCCCCAGGCCTGGATGTGTAACGGGGCTGCTGGTGCTCTGCCCTGAGGTCCTGATGTGGCTGGGGACTCCCACGGGTATCTGGCCGTTGATAAAACCCCTCTCCATTGTGTCGAGGATGAGAAACGGGCCGATGATATCCATCTTTCCACAGCCCTTGATCTGGATCCTTCGTTGGAGCAATGGGCCTCCCCCGTGGCTGAGAAGGCCACTGGGGAACCCAAGGTTCCATCCCTAAATCTCTGAATTTCTCTTGGGTTTTGAGTCAGTTGAGTAGTTATTTTATTCTTCTGCAGGAAAAAAGAAAAAAAAGAAAAAAAAAAAGAAAAGTGAAGGGGGTGGGGGAATCAGTTTTTTAAGCCTATATCCAAATATGGTGGTTGACTAGGTTTGATGAAAAGAACAGCTATAGTGCTTAAAATCTATTTAAAACAAACCATATGAGCCTGGATATAGAGAAATCAGGGCGGTGGGGGAGGCGGAATTGAAGCAGATACATGAAATAAATAACAAGCTAGACAATTACATTGATGTTTCTTAAAAAATTAAAAAGTACATTTGGAACAACAGATGTGGGAGGCATGGGAGACAGATAACTAATAGATGCAGCTAAAAATGCTATCAAGGAATTCCAATTAATGTCTCCTTATTTATCCCATCAACAAATATTTATTCAACACTTCAGAGGCCCTGTGGTATCATCGAAATAGAGGGGGCCTCGGAGAGAGCAGATCACAGTTCAAACCCTACCTCTGCCACTTACTAGCTACTTGATTTTTTCAAGCCTTGATTTCCTTACCCATAAAATGGAGACCATAATACCTTGCAGGGTTGTTGTCAGAGTTAGAATTAAGGCATAGAAAGTGCTTAACACACTGGCTGGTATATAACTGTTTGATACACAGTACTTAGGGTTATCTGAGGAAAAGATGAGGGCACGGTGAGTGGCTGAAGACATTTCTGCTATGGTTGAATATGGATCGCTGCTTCTAAAATTCATGTCAAAATTTTATGATCAGTATGGGGAGGTAGGGTCTTTAAGAGGTGATTAAAATGGATTAATGTCTTTCTTCAGAAACTGGATTACTTCTCACAAGAATGGAGTAGTTACCCTGATAGCAGGTTGTTATAAAGCGAGGTCAGCTCTCCTGTTTTGACCTCTCTTGTACATGCCTGCTCACTGCTCTCACCTGTGCTCCCACTATGTGATGTCATGTGCCATGTGATGACATGGCATGAGACCCTCCCTAGATGTGGTTCCCAGTCTTGGACTTCCCAGACTCCAGAATCATGAACCAAAATAAACCTCTTTTTCCTTATAAATCACCCAGTCTCATATATTCTGTTATAGCAACAGGAAAAAAAAAAAAAACTAAGACAACTTCCTGAACAAAAAGAAGCTTAAATTGACCTCCTCAAGAGATATTCTTTTGTTTTTTTGAGTCTGTACATTGATCTCCTAGAAGAACTAGACCCTGTAAAATAGCTATATCTGCCCCGCCCCCGGGGAGCCAATAAGATGCATGTTTGGGATTTTTATGAGAAACTTGAAATCCAGGTCTCAGGATTCCTCCTGGCTAGAGATTTTAAGTCAAGGAAGTCTCCTTAGCATCAAAATCATTTTCCCCACTTATTCCTTAAAGTAGAAATTAGTTTTGGGGACTGACTACTTTCCTGCTCATATTCCAGAGGATACCTGCCGAAGGAAAGCACACTTCAGACCTCAACCCTGCTCAGAGATCTTCTAGAATTAGGAGCACCCACAGCTCCATCAGCCCCCACATTTCATCTCCCTGGGGAACTATTTTAGGCTGCAAGATTTCTGATCTAATCAACTAACTTGCTGCCACTCCTGAAGCACTCAGCCTCATATAAGAATTCATACCAGAATAGAAGGGCAACAGGGTATGTGTCAAAGCCAGGATATCACTCAGCTCGAAGGCCATGAAGCAGGGTCCACAGCTCTGAGCCGCTGGGAGGCAGAAGTGCTTAGGAAAAGGGCAAGGTGCAGAGGTGTCTTCCACCTCCAGATCAGTCGCAGCTGGGGGAACATATGCCTTCCCTCCAGGTCAGCTCCCTTCCTTGAAAAGCCCACGTGCAATGGGCACCTTCAACAGCAAATCTCAGGAAAGGCCAAACAGTCCAGACACAGTGAAAGGGTCATGGGTCCTTCCTAAAGACACATGGAACTCAATTCCATTTGGACACAAGTAAACGGACCAGGAAAAAAGCAGCTTTCAGCTTGTCCCCCGACACTTGTACCAGGCAGTCCTTCCCCAGTTGCAAAGGCACAATACATAATCTCTTCACCCAAATCACACCATTGTATTGCCAGGAGACATCACCTCCAGTAGGTTAGACCTCAGGTTATAATTAAGGACACCAGATGAAAAGTACCTGAGAGTTTCAGAATGGAGGAATGACAGCTACGATGACAAGTCACATTCACACATTCATAGAAACGACCTCTCCTGGCCCCCAACAGGGCAATGTTGCCTTCCCTAACTCAACGGCACAGCAAGCACAGCCCAGGGAAGGGAGAGAGGGAGCTGGTGTTCCCACACACCTGGCTGACGGCTGCCCACCTTCCTTCAGCGCTGCTCCAGGGACCTGGCCCAAACGTGCCTCCTCTCCTCTGGGAGAATATCAAAGTCCAGGTGCCACATCTACGAAGGCCTACCTGGCCCTCAGATCTCCAGCCAGTTAGTGACTTTCGCAACTGCCCGGCCTCCATGGAGCTGACTCATTAGGGCAAAGTGCAACCCAGCACCTCAGTCTGGGATGGACCTGACTCTGCGTATCTGCTCAGAACCCTGTAGGAGACCGGGACTTCTGTTGGACTGGCCAAGGCTGAGTCAGGTCCACGCACATGAGAAAGCATCAGCCCCTCACAGCAAACTCGGAGGACAGAGGACTCCAGAGAGAGGAAGTCCAGAAAGCCCTGAGGCCGCCTGGTCTAGCCAGAGGAACACACCTTCCGGGGCTGCCCCTGGCTCTCACGTGACTAAAGCTCTCTGAGTGCCAGTTTCTTTTTCTGTAAAATAACAAAAACTTAGTTTATGACAGTTGTTTTAAGGACTCCATGTTCGTAAAGTAGCACATGATATATAAAGAAATGTGCTCTACAAATAAGTGTGATCCTTTCCTTTCAAAAGAGGTGAGCAAATTCCACTGGTTGGGTGGGGAAGTGGGGGCTACTCCCTGGTGGGTAGGAAGTACCTGGGGTGCCTGGTATGGCTTTTCTCATTCATGTTTGTCTCCACTGGGTCTGAGTTATATAACCAATCGTTTCCTTTCCTTTCCTTTTCTTTCCTTTCCTTTTCTCTTCTTTTTGTTTCTTTTCAGGTTTATTTATTAATTTATTCCATGACAGAAAGACAGACAGCTAGGGAGAGGACAGTTACCCCTGATGGGGTACTCACATTGGGATCCACCCCCTAGCATCAGCCAGCCCCAAAGGCACACACACACGCCTAAGCCCAGTGTATTCAGAGAGGTCCCAGGACATGAACGCGAGCCCCCTCCAACGTGAATGTAGTTGGTTACCACTGCAGCCCCTTCTAGCTCCCCCTCATTCTATTATTACTATCAAAGGCCAATTTGTTTTTTTCTTTTTTTTTTTTGCTTGTTTGTTTTTTCTGGACAGGTTTTTGTTATAGGGTGCATGCCCTCACCAGAAAGACAGAAAACGAGCCATGCACTCACCAGAAAGACAGAAAACGAGAAATACCCCCCCCCCCAGGGGGGGGGATGGCCACGCCACATTCCTTTCTCCTCCATTCTCCTCTCAGGATCCTGGACACACACACACACACCTGGCGTGGGTTTAAGCCACAGGGCCCAGGACTCGAACCACGGTTGACATGGGAGTCCAGCAATATAGCCATTACACCAACTACTGGTCCTGAAAGGCCAATTTGAATGCCCAGTGTTGAACTGAAGACACTGAAAACTCTTCTACTATAACAAAAACGTAAGTTCTTGCATTTGAAAACTACGTTTCTTCTTTGGGACCAGCAGATGGCATGATGGCTATGCCACTGGACTCCCATGTAGTTGACCGCGGTTTGAGTCCTAGACCCGGTGGCTTAAACTCACACCAGGCGCGTGTGCATGTGTGCCCAAGATCCCGAGAGGAGACTGAAGGAGAAGGGATTGTAGTGTGGCCATCCCCCCTGGGGAGGGTGATTTCTTGCTTTCTGTCTTTCTCTGTCTTTCTGGTGAGCACATGCACCTATAGCAAAAACCTCTCACCCCCCCCAAAAAAAAAAGAAAAGAAAAATACATTTCTTCAGCATTAGTAAACATAGAGAAGCTCATGGCTACTACTAAATTATATTTTAAAATTCAGAATTTGCTCCCAAAAAAAGCCCAGCTGGTTTATTTTTTCTTGCAACAAAGACTTACTGAGTTCCTATTACATGCCAGGATTTGACACACATAAAGAGACACAGTACTTGCCTCCAAAAGCTCAGAACAGGGGTGCACTGGCAGCTCAGTAGTAAAACACAATGCTCTAAAAGGCTGATTCACATGGGAAGGTTCTGAGTTCAGGTCCAGAGACCTTTCTGAGTCCACCAGGCACATGTATGCCCATGATCTGGGGCTAGCTGAGGCTAGAGGTAGATTGTGGTATCAAGATCCGGTTACAGGTGCTCTCTCTCTCTAAATATTTCTCATGGAAGAAATAAAGAAAGAGAAAAGAGAAAGAAGGAAGGAAGGAAGGGAGGAAGGAAGGAAGGAAGGAAGGAAGGAACGAAGGAAGGAACGAAGGAACGAAGGAAAGAAGGAACGAAGGAACGAAGGAAGGAACGAAGGAAGGAACGAAGGAACGAAGGAAAGAAGGAACGAAGGAACGAAGGAAGGAAGGGAAAAAAAGAAACTTCAAAAATAGAAGCTCAGAGCAAATTAGCCTTTCAGGTTGTCACTAGTCCAGTGGAAGCTACACTCAGACAGAGTAATGTATCTGGGTATAAGATCTCAGCCCCTCAAATGACTTTTAGTAGAGTAGTTGACTATAGCCATGAAATCAGGCTCACTTAAGATTACTGGTTTTTGTTTTGGTTTTGTTTTCTTTTAATTTGCCAGAGGGCAAGTATACTCACCAGAGAAAGACAGGCAGAAGGAGAGTAAGAAAGCACCCACCATGGGGAATGGTCACACCATCCCTTCTCCCTTCTCCATTTCTCCCTCCTTTCAGGGTTTTGGGCACACATGCACATGAGCCTGTATATTTCCCAAGGCACCAGATCTGGGACCCAAATGCAGTCGGCTATTTGGGATCCAGCCACCTTAACCACCATGCCATGGGCTGGTCCTCTGCACTGTCATTTTGAGTCCTCCCGGAAGGACACATGCACCAAGAGCAGGAATCAGAACATTATTGATTAAGCACAGGCTTGTTATCAAATTACATGTTCTGATATATCATACAACATTCATAATCTGATCGGCCTGCAGCATGACATCAGTCTTGCCGGATAATACTAGTTGCATAATTGAAATGCTGACTTTGGAAAGGACCTTAGAGATTATTTTAGCAGCTTTGCTTTTTGTAAATGGTGAAACTAAGATCCAGAGAACTGAAGTGATTAACCCAAGATCACAAAGCTAGCTAGAAATTCACTGAGGATTACATTGGTATGATCCTGTTCCCTTGCACGGGGCTTACAAGAGCTGATTATTAAATATTCAGGAATTGTGTCAGCCAGTTGCTAAACCATGTATAATGTGAAATCCACCTTGGTAATATTTCCCCACAGTCGTCGGCAATTGTCACAAAGCAAGGTGGCCGATTATTTGTGTCTTAGCGGATCAGTGTACTGGCACTCTGATGTCTAACCCAAACTCTTAGTTCCTTCAGTGACAGAACTGTCGTGCGGCGCTGGCTTCCACTGCACATCTCTGGTGTAAACATCCAGCCAGTTATTCCAAATCTCCTTTTGTGACATCCCAAAAGCATCTCTAATTATCTCAAGAGTTATTATGGAACTCTTGTAACACTCATCAACCAAAATTAATTTTCATTAGCTTTTGTTATTTTATATAGACATACGGCACATAGCAGTAATACGGGTAGTGGAATGAAACAGATCGTGATGGGAGCTCACCAACCGAAAGTTAGGAATGTATCGGTCCCTGGCTTTCCCAGCATATCAACTGTTACTAAGTCTTCCATCCCGGCAACTCGATGATGCCTGGTTTCTAAGGAAAATTCAAAAACTAAGAAAGTGGCCAACTTAATTGTGGGACAAGTCTGGAGTTGAATATTATATCCCAGAATTTAATTGGGAAAATTGAATCACAACAAAAGATCAAGTACATGAGACTGAACTGGTGAAACAGAATTTTATGACTTTTGACTAAAATATTGTTGATTTTTTTTTCTAGGCTTTGTTTTCTGATTTTAAGGATTTTTGTCTTGTCTTGAGCTGCCAATAGGTTCATGTACCTACTATTTGAACAGAACCCCAACCTGTTTCCTGGCTTTAAGTTTTAAGCGTATGTCCTTAGTATTTCTTTGAAATCTGCTTTTCTTGAAAATGAAAAATATAGTAAAAAAATACATAATTAATGACATAGTAAGCTATATAGCATAGAATATACTATAAGGTGCTACCTTATAGTATATTCATTCTACTCAGAGTTTCATGCCTTAAGTCAGACATGGATTCATAGATATGTATATATCAGCTGAGCTTGCTATTGAAAGTAGTTAGATTATTTAAGAAATTTTATGAATCAATAAAATGTGGGGAAAAAAGGAATGGAAAACAACTGTGAACACCTGAGACCATGTGGGAAGAGGGTGGGAAATGGCAGAGGGTGAGAAATAGGGGGAAATACATATATATATATATGAAACTAGAAATGAAAAATTATGGACGATAACGTATGATTAAGCTACTATGAAGCTTCTTCTGGATGGGAAATTACATTTTGTATGCTGTGACAATGCTCAGTGAATAAATGTAAATTAATTAATTTTAAAAATAAGAAATAAAAAAGATTTTTAAAAAATTTCACACAGTAACTCAAGGCTCAGCTCAAGGTTTCAGTATTCTTAAACCAGTAGGACATTGATATTTTAAAAACTCATGTTTTAAAATAAATAACGTTACAAACAAAAAATAAATAAAATTTACCCAGCTTGACAACACATTAGGTACTCAGTTCCCACCTGGAAGAGGTCTTGCCATCTCAAATCCTAGCTATAGAACCTCTGCAATAATCCCACAGAATGCCTCATGCATAAATAACCACGGTTTTCACCTTATCCCTGTTCCAAAGGTCCAATCCTCATACCTGATTCCCATTCTGCATTCCAGCTGTCCACCAGGATTAGAACCCTGGAAGCTTGCTGATCCATGTGACTCTCCCTCCCCAGTCCTAGTCTCCATTTCAAATGCCAGACCACTGTCTAGAGACTTGCTTCAAACAGGAATTGGAAGCTACAGATTGCTCTGTATGGATTGAATGTTTTTCTCCAAAACTACCATGTTGAAATCCTAACTTTCAATGTGGTGGTATTAAGAGCTGAGGCCTTTGGGAGGTGATTAACTTAAGACTCCTCATGAGTGGGGTTAATGCACATAGAAAATAGACAAAAGAGCTTGCTTCCTCTCTCTCCTCTTCATCATATAAAGATAAAACCAGAAGGCAACCATCTACAAACTGGGACATAGGCCCTAACCAGATGCTAGAGCGACCAGCACTTTGATATTGGATTTCTTTGCCTCTA